CTTTCCATTTATACTTGCTACATGACTTGCTTCCCAACTGGATCAATTTTACCTAAGCAGCTGTACTTATAATCTTATTATTTGATCATAGGTTTAGTCCACACTGTACCCACCTTGTGATTTTGCTCTTCCTCTGTGAAGGGGGCTCATTGGCAACCCACTTGGGCCCCCTCTGTCTCTTAGGCAGGAGCTGACTCTCTTGCAATAAAATTTCCTACTCTTAAAAAAAAAACAAAACCCTCCTGAACAACCAATGGGTCACAGATGAAATTAAAAACATCTACAAATAAACAAGAAAGCATATACAACATACTGGAACTCATGGGAAACAATGAAAGCAGTCCTAAGAGTGAAATTTATAGTGGTGAATTCTCACATCAGGTAAACAGAATGAACACAAATAAACAACCTAATGCTGCACCTCTAGCTTCTAGAAAAAGAAGAGCAAGACAAGCCCAAAGCCCATATAAGATAGGAAATTATAAATATCAGAGCAGAAATTAATGCAATGAACACTAAGAAAACAATGCAAAGAATTAATGAATTAAAGAGTTGGTTCTCTGGAAAAATAAAAAAGATTAATAAACCCTTGGGCAACCTTATCAAAAAAGGAAACATAAACAATTTTAAAAAATCAGACTCCCCAAATTTAAAGACCCAATCCAAAAATGGGCATCTGAGATGAATATGCATTTCTCAGATAAAGAAAGATAGAAAATAAATACATGAAAAAATGTTCAACATCATTGGTCATTCAAAAGATGTAAATTAAAAATAACACTGACATTCCATCTCACTCCAGAAAAAATGGCTGCCATGAAGAAATCAACCAAAACAAATGCTGATAAGGCTGCGAGGAAAAAGGAACCCTTCTCCACTGTTGGTGGGAGTGTAGACTGTTGTGACCACTGTGGAAATCAGTGTGGAGATTCCTCAAAATCTAGGATTAGAGATCCTATGTGACCCAGCTATTCCCCTTCTGGATATTTTCTCAGAATGAAAAACATCAGACCACAGCAATATACGTGCACCTGTTTACAGCAGCACAATTTGTAATAGCTAAATTTTAGAAACAATCCAAATGCCCATCAACTGAGGAATGGATGAAAAAGATGTGGTATTTTTACACAACAGAGTACTGCTCAGCTATAAAAAATGAACTTGAGACTTTTATAAGTAATTGGATGCAATTTGAGACCATACTCATAAGTGAAATAAATCAGTCTCACATATGTAAACAGTGTATTATCTCCTTAGTGTAAGAAACTGAAAGAGTAAATAAGATCTAAAATGTACAACAGATATTGGGAAATGGGAAGAAACTGTTCAAAAAAAAAGAGAAACTGGGATAAAGGAAAGGAGGAAGGGAAAAGTTAACACAAGATAGCTATACTACTAATTGCTATTAATTCTTTCAAAAGAAAGGTTTGTGCTTCTATCATTTGATCAATTTTTCATGACTATATCTTGTGATCTGAGCAAGTACTTTCAAGATAACAATAAGCAATGTACTAACCATTGTTACTCTCCTTCTATCTTGGTTTGAATTTTTGTATCATTGTTTTTAGTATTTTTCTTCTCTGTAAAATAAAAGTGTTTGTGGACCTGTTCTACCAATTTTTACAGTAAAGCTTAATTGCCCATGTTCAATAGAGTCTGGAGGGCTCACTCAGTGTTACTAATTCCCTATGGCCTTTTTCCTAGAGGATAAATTTCCACTTTCTCACCTGCTGAGTCTTCAGATCTGTATTACTGACAAGGCCCTGAAGGGGCCACATACTCTTTCTATCCCCTTTTCCTTCCAGACTAAATTGGTCATCTCAAGTGTGAATTCAATTTCATTTCGTTCAACTAGCCACTAAGTCTACTTTATTTTCCTTTCTCCCAAATTCAGGAAGAAAACTATTAACATGCCAAAATCTTTAATTCTAGGATTCCTTTCAGTTGGTCTGACAATTCTCTTTCTGCTGGTCTGTAACTTCTCCTTCAACTGGCTTTCAGAACAGAAAAGCACTTATTTTTCTTTCATCTCAATCTAAAACTTTTTTTTTTAGTACTGGGAACTGAGCTTAGGACCTTGTGCCTGCCAGGAAGGCTCTGTACCACCAAGGTATAACCCTGGCCCTACAGCATGTCTAATTGACAAATAACTGTATACATTTACAGGGTATGATATGGAACAGGTCTATTTATATTTGAGACAAATATTATCCTTGAGAAATAAGGCATGTCCCTGAGATGCCTTTTTGTGTCTCCATGAGGGACACTAGAAACAAAGCAAACTCGTGTTACCTGTAGAAACTGCTCTCCTGCTTGTGTTAAATTAGCTGGTTCTTGGATTGCTGGTCATTGCCTTTGTAGTTTGATCTGTAAAACCCCTCTGCCTTTGGTCACCAGATATGAAAGTGTGGAGAGAAGTGCTAAGAGCCACAACTGGACACTAGCCCTCTCCAGGTATTTTCTTCATTTTTTGCCAACCTATCTACTCCCCCTGCACAGCTCATCTGTGGATAGAACAGTTATCTTTTATTCCCTGACTTTTACAGATCAGTAAATTAAGTGGGAAAAAAGAATTACCAATAAAAGACTGCCAACTTTTTTTTCAAATGAGACATACATTTAACAAATATATCCTCTCAAATCTCAAATTATTTCATAAAAGGACTTTTGCACTTTAAACAGGGCATATTTTTAGAATAATGGTCTTTAATCAATTTAGCTTTACAAAGATATTATACTGTCCTTACTTTTACTTGAAAACAGATGTTTTTGTCAAAATTAGCACTTTTGGGGAGCTGATGATATATATTTTTAGACACTTAATCCCTGAAATTGTGCTCTGCCCAACTCTAGTAACTGCTTATAGAAACTCTTTGACCTTCTAACAGTAAAAGAGGATACTCTTCTGCCCTTCTTCAATCTCTCTGTAGCAGTCTTCCAGGTTGCTTTACCATAGCAGTTACATGTTGGGTCTTCCCTGCTTCTGGCCATTTCTCCGTCTCCCTTGCATCCTATGCATTCAACTAAACAACAGAGGTCCTTAGGACATCATCTCTAGACTTTTGCTTTATTCTTTCCTTAAAGCCTTACCAAATTGTTTAAATATTGCTGAATTCCTAAATCAACCTCTAGCCAAGATCTGTTCCCTAGGCACACCATCTCCAATTATATTTTGACTTTGTCACTGTCACAGAACACTCAGATCAACATTATCAAATGAATTTCAGTGACTTCCCCATCCCATACCAATTGTACTTTTCTGCCCCCTTTTCCAGTAAGAGTATCAACCACCCAAACATAGTTTGAATTATCTACCCTTCTTTTCCTTTCTCTTGTAATCAACAACCAGTTACCAGTTTGTAAATATTCCTTAAATTCACCTCCCCGTACTCCTATAGCCTTAGGGGAAGCACCATAATCTCTCAGCTGTTTTAGAGGCTTGCTGAGGCCCTTCACAAGGAAACCACAAACACTTGAAACAATAATTTTGCATATACAATTTTCTAAGACCTAAGAAACTATAGACTCGGTAAGTTTTTCCTCCCATTCAGCTCTACAATGCTCAAGTAAAAATGGGTGCACCTCAGAACATTTGGTATATTTTGGAAGATGCACAGGAAGGTAACATTTGGGGTACCTACAAAATCACTCCTTAAGCTGGGTGCTGGATATACAAGGGTTTCATTTTCAAAATACAGGCCTGTGCAACTGTATGCCCTTTTAACAGACAGTATACTTATATATAATGAAAATGTCACCATAGAAATTTTAAGAAGTCTTCATATAACACCTCTTAATCTGTATTAAGGGATTTCTTATCTCCTGCCACATTCTCAAGTCACCAAGCAGCTAGTTCACCCTGTTAACAGCTACCAGGTTAAACAAAAAAAAGAGTTGGAACTTCTGGTAAGCCATATAACTCCTTATATCACTTACACAGTGATATAAGCAGTACATACCAGGTATACTTTATATCTGAATATTATTCTATATCAGTGTGGCAAACTTATGGTACATGTTGTTTTTCTTTCAAGATAAAATTTGCTAATGCATGAGTTATTTTTTTCTAAACTAAAACTTCAGACTTCATGTTTAATTGCAGTGCTGGCACTCTGCAATAAGTGGATCTGGGGTTGCAACTTGCCATCACAGCTCTATAACTGAAACAGTAAATTCAGTGAAAAGCAGAGAAATGTTTTAATGTGCTTTCAATAAAAACATGTTTTTAATTTTTTTTTTTTTTTGGTATGGGAATTGAACTCAGGACTTTGCACTTGCCAGGTAGATGCCGTGCTGCTGAGCTATATCCCGACCTGCATTTTTTTTTTTTTTTTTTTTTTTAACAGTGAGAACAAGTCACACTTGGAAGGCTGAGGTACAAGGATTGTTATGAGTTTGAGGCCAGCCTGGGCTACAAAGTGAGTTCAAGCCTAGCCTGAACTGAAGAGAGACCCTGTTTCAAACAAACAAACAAAAATTGACAGCAAGTCTAAGAATCTTATTATTAGTTGAAACTCTGGGCTGGGAACCAATGGTATAACTCTATAATCTTGTTGAATCAGGTAGTATTTTAAAAAACTCTTTTCATTGGGTAACAAACTTTGTACAATATGAGTACCCGACAAAAGGAGTGGACAAAGATGGGTATATTTTTACATATGCATAACCTTCACATTTACATGTATGCACACACCCACAAACATGTGACATTCAGATATGACAAGATGGAGGTTTGAAGGTGATTTTTAGAATCACTACAGCATACAAAAAAGATCATTAGCTCAAACTACCAGCAAGTTAGAATTAAGGAGTTCCAATGAATTGGAACTCTATACTCAGAAACTAAAGAACCTGTAATTAATCTGATTTTAAAATAGTCCAGAAAATGTTAACTAGGCACAAGCACAAGTGAGTGTAATCTCCTTCAAATCTTTGATTCTAATTTTAAAAATAGTATTCAAGAGGACTGATTTTATACTATAACAAAAACTCTTACACAAAGCAAAAAACAAAATGGGTTTTAATAATTAAAACAGATGCTTAATAAGTTTATAACCACCATGAACTAAGGGAAGCCCTAGAATCAGAAATAAAGCCTTTAAAATTGCATGCAAAATCTAGTTACCATAAAACCCCAAGCAATACCAAAATATTTCAGCTTCCTAGCATAAACTCCAGGTCTTTTAATTTCCAATTATTGGTAATCAAAATATGCATACTTTCACATGATCCTGGTAGAGCAGGAATGAGCATTATCATCTAGTTTTACAAATATCTTTTACAGATGGGATGGCATCAAAGAATATTTTCTTCCACATTTTTTGGCCCATCTTGTGAGGCGGAAAGGCACTCCCAAAGATTCCTTGGCAACACCTTTCATAGGTTAATTAGTCACATAATCTTTATATACAGAGTTAATGGTTCACTCATTTCACTGATCTGAGAATCACTAGGTATTGAAATAGCCTTTCATTAACTCATGTCCAACAGCTGACTTACCAATAAAAAATCTTTGTATACTGGTCTCAATGACATCTGGATTTTGACAACTTATGTATGCTTGATCATTGGGCTCTGACATGCATAGCCAAACATTACCAGAGAACGGAAAGGACTGCCATGAGAAGGTGGCAAAGAACTCATTCTTACTTTTTTAACATTAGTGCCCTTGTTCTCAGTTCCCTTGCACTAATTTAACTGTCCTTCAGAGCACTTCTATATGATCTGCACCTAGATTCAACTTCTCTGCTAAAAGACTTGCTAGAAAGATGTTTAATTAGTCTTTCTCCAGGGTCACAAAAACACTTGAAAGTCAACTGCCCATGGACAGTTGTCAACGATTCACCATCTTTAGAAACCATGTGCTTTAGGCCAAGGACAATTTATCACTAAATCTAACTCACATTTAACCATACAAAAACTGTCCTTGGATAGCTAGTCTCAAATTGAGCCTACATATTTCTCTACATTTACTGCATCCATGCAGTATGCAATTTTTGATGCTGAATAAGAGAAATATGGCAATTGAAGGCTTCACCACAAGCATCACATTCATGGGTTTCTTGGGTTTTGATCTCTGCATGGATCTTCTGATGGTTGACAAGGCTGCGCTGTTGACTGAAACTTTTGTCACATTTCTCACACTTATAAGGTTTCTCTCCTGTGTGTATTCTCTGATGCTGAATAAGACCTGAGTTTCGGCTAAAGGCCTTTCCACATTCCTCACACTTATGAGGCTTATTACCTGTGTGAACACCCTGATGTCGGATAAGATTACAAAGTTGACTAAAACTTTTGCCACACTGTCTGCACAGATAAGGTCTCTCACCAGTGTGGATTCTCTGATGTTCAATAAGAAATGAGCTTCGACTGAAGCTTTTCCCACAAACAGTACATAGGTAGGGCTTTTCACCAGTATGGATTCTTTGATGTTGTACAAGGTGAGCACTAACACTGAAAGTTTTTCCACATTCATCGCATTTGTATGATTTTTCCTTAGGGTAGACCTCTTGCTGTATAACAAGACTGCAATTTGGATCAAAACTTTCTTTAGTTTCATTGTATGGATAAGTCTTTTCCCTAGTGTGGATTCTCTGATGCTGAATGAGACCTGAGCTCCTACTGAAGGCTTTTCCACATTCCTCACATTTATGAGGTTTGTCCCCTGTGTGAATTCTCTGATGACGCGTGAGATTGCAAAGTTGACTGAAACTTTTCCCACACTCTTTGCACTGATATGGTCGTTCACCAGTATGGATCCTCTGATGTTCAATAAGGAATGAACTTCGACTGAAGCTTTTTCCACATTCAACACAAAGAAAAGGTTTCTCACCAGTGTGGATTTTTTGGTGTTGTATAAGATATGTACTTAACCTAAAGGCTTTCCCACATTCACCACATTTATGGGGTCTTTCCCCAGTGTGAATTCTCTGATGTTCAACAAGCAATGAATTTCGACTAAAGCTTTTCTTGCATTTGGTACAATGATAGGGTTTCTCACCAGTGTGAGTTCTCTGATGCTCGATAAGGTGTGACTTCCAACTGAAGGCTTTCCCACAGTCACTACATTTATGAGGTTTCTCACCTGTGTGAATCCTTTGATGTTTAACAAGGCTCCTTCTCTGGCTGAAGCTCTGTTTACATTGATTACACTGATAAGGCCTTTCTCCAGTGTGGATTCTCTGATGTCTAATAAGGGTAGAGCTCACACTAAAGGTTTTGCCACAGTAATTACACTCATAGGGCCTCTCACCAGTGTGAATCCTCTGATGTTCAATAACAAATGAACTACGACTAAAACTTTTTCCACATTCATTGCACTGAAAAGGCTTCTCACCAGTATGAACCCTTTGATGTTGAATGAAATGGGCCTTACGAACAAAACCCTTTCCACATTCTTCACATTTATGGCATTTCTCTTCTGTGTTTGATCTCTTCCGGATGTTAGTGTTTCCTCTGAACATTTTCTGTTCCTGAGTCAAAGATTCCCGTGGTATTTCCCACAAGAAGATCCCTCTCTGTTTATCTAACCTACCAACAAGTTCAAAAGTTTCCCTACCCATGGGATCCTGGTCAATTTCACTTTTGATTCTTGTAACTATAACACCCTGTGGTTCCACTTCTTCCTCAAGTTCTTCAATTTCTTGTTTCACAGTTGGCTCTTCATCCTTATCTCTGTTCAAAACATCTGAAATACAAACATCAGCCAACCTCTTTAATGGCAAGAACTATCAGAAAAATAAGCTAAATAAATTAACCTATTAGACCTATAAAATAGTTTACTACTCACTGCATTGTTGTGAGAATTAAATTAGTTCATACACATTAACCATTTAGAATAGTAACTCTCGCCGGGATATAGCTCAGCAGCAGAAGTGCCTGTCTAGCAAGTGCAAGGTCCTGAGTTTGATTCCTGGTACCCCACCCCCCTGCAAAAAAATAGAGTAGTAAGTATCAAAGAATATAAGCTGCATAAATATTACAATTATAATAATAATAGTATTATTATTATTATTAAGAGACAAGGTCTTGTTACACTGCCCAGGCTTGTCCTTGAACTCCAGGGCTCAAGAGATCCTCTTGTCTCAACCCTCAAGTAATTGGGATTATAGGTGTATTTCAACCATACCCAACCAAATATTATTATTTAATGTTAAGTTATCTGATGAACTGGATTTTTGGAGACGGGTATGAAGAATGAAATAGAGGAGCAAGTAGAGTTAGGAGAAAGGGCTGTCAAATCAATACTGAATTATACTAGATAAAATGGGTAAACAAAGATAAAACACATAGTGGTGGGATTAAATTCAGGAGAATTTAAAATGAGAATGCACTAGTGGAATATAAGCAGATCAAATAATTCACAGAAAGGAACACAAAAGTGGAACCTCAGAAAGGTAAAAGAGAAGGAACAAGGGTAAGCTACGATTTATTCATTGATATGAATTTATTCACTATCAGAAGCATTCCAAGTAATCTGCAGTGAATGAAGACTCAAAGATAACACATGAAGCCCCTACCAAATGGAAGTTGTTGAGAAAAAAAATGGGTAAAGAAAATATGATAAAATATTCAATAAAGAGCACATAACATGAACAGATAACATAGCTCTTTTTTAAAAAAGGGTTGTAGCCAGGCATGGTGGTACATGCCTGTAATCCCAGCACTTGGGAGGCTGAGACAGGAGGATTGTTGCGAGTTCAAGTCCAGCCTGGGCTACAAAGTGAGCTCAAGGCCAGCCTGAACTGCATAGCGAGACCTATCTCAAAAAGACAAAAATAAATAAATAAATAAATAAAGGTTTGAAGGGACAGTCTAAGATCTTGAGACACTGTATAAAGTAAATATAAAACATGATCATAGTTAAAGGAAGAAAAAAGCAATCTGTGGTAGCTTGACTTCACAATAAATCACAGCACATTCTTTAAGTACAAATGATTCTTACCCTCTACTTATATGTAACCCAAAGTTCATCTTTTTTCAACTGACAATTTATATTACATCTGAGAAATAAAAATCTTGCATACATTGAAGAAAAGATATGATAATGGTGTACAACACAAAAGAGTGGCTTACAAGACCCTTAATATATATTGATTAGGCCTGACTCTGACTTCTTTCCTGATTTTCCAGCTTGGGCTGCCTGTCTCCTAATTCAACTAGAAGATTCAATCACTACAAAATTCTTATTTGACTGTAAAAAAGTTCTTTTCTTGTCACAGCCCTCTTTTCTCTCAACTGTCTAGTTTTTTAACTGCAGCCATGTGTGTGAATTTTCTCATAACTTACTTCAGACCAGCTATTTTATTAAAAAGGAATACAAAACAAAACAAAATAGTACTTCTCTCACTCCCCTAATCAAGTACTAGAACTTTGATTTCTTCTCAGGCTTCTTATAGTATTCCCTCTCAAATGCATTTTCACTGTACTGTTTCCTGTCACACAACAAAAGCTTCCCCCAATTTTCTGCCTTTCATCTATAAAATTACCTACAGTAATAGGCCATCATATCCAAATCTAATCCATCTATCCTCTCCTGATCCCATTCACCTCTGAGCAGTTGTTCAATTATTTTCTCTTAATTTTTCAATCTCCTTTCCAGTAATGCCTTCCTACCATCATACAAATATGTTCAACTTTTTCTTGAATGTGAATTCCCTTCCTTGACCAAAACTAAATGCTGGGGGGAAATATAGCCATGCTCAACCTCTTCTCATTCAATCTGTTCTGCAAGCTACTATGAAATCTAGTTTGCTTTCAACAAGTAGGGAAATTTCTCATCAAAATTAACAATGTCTTTCAAACAATGCAATGGGCACCTTTTAGTCCTTATTTTATTCAGCAGTATTTGACACTGTTTACCCCTCTTATTTCTATGACCCTATTTTTGCATTCCATGCTATTACATTTTTTTTAGCTCTCCCCTACTTTTTTCTAATAAATTCTCCTAATTTATTTTTCTGTCTCTGACAGAAGATGTTTTATATAATTGTTACTGTTTTATATCCTTACTTCTACATGTATATCCTCTGGCTATCACTAGTTAGATACATCATAAAGGGTTTGCAGTAAACTTGGGACATCACTAGCTACTGTCTTTTCCCACTGCTACTTATTTCTTTTTTTTTTTTTTTTTTTTT